ATGACTCAAGCTCACACACAATTAGAAAATAATATGCCAGGCATAAATGTGGTTTAGAAAAAGAAAGCTTGTATTATAGATATGACAATCCTTGTGAACAGCATATTCAAAGATAAAGATTATGATTTCTAGACTCTTGGACAGAATCTGAATGTTGGATAATCCAGTGTCCAATTCCATTCAGTAACATTTGGTTGGCCATGAACCAGAACATAATAGGTATAATAAACACAATCACTATCATCATCACACTACCACAATCATCACCTTCCACATAGGATATGAATAAAGCCTCTACATTAAATTAAACATAGGCTCTACAGTAAATTGGCTTCTACATTAAATTAAATATAGGCTCACCATATTGCTTGAAACTGATATCTCTAAGATTATGTTCATGCATAGTTAAAGCAATAAGATCTTCTGACCATTGAACAATGGGTGGAGAGTATTTATTTTTCCATCTTTGCAGTTTAAGTCTTTCTGAAACAGTAAAAAAAAAAAAAAAGCAGAATCCAACAACTCTGACCCTGAATTAAATTCCACATCACAGGAATGTGATTTAAAATAACATTTAAACTTCCTCTGAGCAGACCCCAGTTCTAATGGGCCTGCTGCTTTCATTTTAAACCCAGCACTATTACATCTGATATATGGTTTTGCCTAATTCTCATTTATTTGGATTAGTAATGATTTATTCCAGCTTTATCTTGGCTGTCTTTTAATGAAGTAACACTAATCACTTTTAATCAAAATCAGAATGTCTACATGACTCTTAATCCAATTTAACTCACACAGGCTTATAATGTACACCTTCAGTTAATCAAGATCAATAATTCCATGTAGACAAGCCTTGAGCAAATGTTATGGGATATCTATTCTTGTATCTGTTCTCCTGCACCCACCCCACCCATCCAAGGTCAGTAAAATACTTTCTTGCTACATTTCATTCTGAACACATCTCTTCGTAATTCTAACACATCCAGGATTAACATAACAAAGTAATCAGTGTATTTTAGGTCAATATTTTGCTCAGCCATTAACACTGGTAAAGCTTAACCATCTAAGCAAAAAAAATCCTGAGAGGCATCAATTGGATGCTTTGATTTTGGCCACAAAGAAAATGAAGATAGGAGTTGTTTGTGAGATGTTGATGTTGTTTTTCTCTCTCAAATCAAAACCCATTTGAGCTGTGTGGCTATAAATATGTGAGAGTTACAGA